TGACCAATATATCTTTTTCACTTTTTCACCCCTTCCTCTCCTCACATACACTCACCCTCTCACATTCAACGGATTTTTTCTAAAATTATAATTTTAAATTTACATTTTATACCCTATAATTAGTTAATTAATTACTTTAAGTCATTTACTTTTATATGTTTCATTTTAAACCTTTATCAAATTAACATACATAATCGTATATCAATTAAAACATGTTTAAAAAATATATTTTTATTTTAACAAGTTACACCATTATAATCATCCGTTAATACCTTCGAAATGAGTCCAATATTGAATAGTTTTTGACTTAATTATATTATTATATATACTGTGAAAAAATATTTTTAATGTTTACGATTTATACTTTTATAGTTATTTATTTATATATATGCCATACATTTTGGGGTTAGGCTGTCTAAATTGCACTGTATAATATGTTCTGAATTAATATGTTATTGAGTTTTTTTGAAATATATATATATATATATATATATACATGTATTAATTCAACATTAATCTGAGTTTCTAGACAAGAAAGAGGGTAAACAGTTGAAATTTCATTCTAAAACYCATCTTTTTTGGTCTTTTCATGGCTTATGATATGTCAAATTTGTAGTTTTCTTTATTGGTTTTGAGTTTTTATCTTAAAACTCAAGTTTATTGGTTCTTTGCTCTTGGTGTAAATCGAACACATTTGTGGAGTCATTTAAATATGTTAGATTTTAAATATATTGGATTTTAAATATATTGATAGTATGTAATTGGAACCATAACTCTTATTTATTCAATATTGTATTAATATGTAAAGACCAAGTGTAACTTATATCATCGTTAAATCTTATCTTATAAAACCAGTAAAACTTCAAGTTTGTTAAAATTCATGGCTTCCACCGTATTACACAAATAGACAACTAGTATATACATAAAATATTCATGAAACCACTCCATTTACATCTCAATCAACCACCAAACTCTTTTTTTCTTGTTGACAAGCAATTACCAGATAAATCCAATTTCCAGTCAGCATTAAAAATTGCTCTTGAAAGTCCAATTAGTGGTACCCGCCAAATTCATCACCATCTTTTCCCAAATTACTCTTCTACCCCTACACATTCCCCCATATTTACACTCACCACCAAAACCCGCTTCCCATTCAACTAACCATACTTTCCCACTCTTTATTACCCGTTACTCTTCCATCATTTATCAACACCTTCGTCAATGCCAACAGTCCCCCCGATTGAAGTCCAGGCGTCTTGCGTCATCTTTCATCATATTTGAAGGTTTGTTTTCCATAATTTCTTGATCTTCATGTAATTTGAATTCAGCTTAAGAATTTTGAGTTTTGATTAACCGGTTTGTGCTTTTGAGATGATTGAGCTGGATATTGGATGGATTAGGTTGTGAAAAGGTGATTATGAGTTTGGTAGATGTATATTAGTCGTGTATGTAATGGATTTGAAAGTTTATGCAGCTAATTAGTTGTTAATATGAATCACGTATAGTAAATCTGAATTTGAGTGGCTTTTTGTTACAAGAATTTTGATTAATCGAATTGTGTTTTGAGATGAGTGAGTTGGATTTTGAATGAATTAGGTTGTGAAAAAGGTGATTATGGACTTGATAGATGTATATTAGTTGTGTATGTAATGGATTTGAAAGTTTATGCAGCTGATTAGTTGTTAGTGTGAATCACGTATTGTAAATCTGAATTTGAGTAGTTTGGTTGTTTTAAGGTGTACGAATTAGTTTAATTTCAGCTTAATATTAATAAGTATTTGTTACAAGAATTTGATTAATCGATTTTTTTTAGATGATTTAGCTGGAAATTGGATGAATGAGGTTGTGAAAGGTGATTATGAATTTGATAGATGTATATTAGTTGTGTATGTAGTGGATTTGGAAATTTATGCAGCTGATTAGTTGTTAGTATGAATGACGTATTGTAAATCTGAATTTGAGTGGTTTGGTTGTTTTAAGGTGCATGATTTAGTTCGACAGTCGTATTTGAATGATTTATAAGTAGTAGTGGTTCATTTTTGTTAAATTTTCTGTAGGGGCGAGAAACAAAGAGAGGAGATGGGGGAGACAGAAGATATTATGGAAGCTGTAAAGAAGGAAGCAGTTGATTTGGTAAGAAACTGTAACCTACACTTCCTGTTTATATGGCTATAAGTGGTTTTCTGGTTGGTTTTGATGTTAATGGTGGCTTTTGCAGGTTTACTATGTTGATTATTATAAGGAATGTGAATTCTTTGTACAAATGTGTAGTTTTGTTTTTGCATCTTATTGATTAACGAATTTAAACTTGAATTAATTATAGGAAACGATTCCAATTGAGGAAGTTTATGAAAATTTGCGATGTTCCAAAGACGGGTTATCGTCGGAGGATGCAGAGAAGAGATTGGAGATTTTTGGGTACAACAAGCTTGAAGAGAAGAAGGTGCGTGGTGTATCTTATTGACATATTGGCTTACGATTACTGTTTTTGATCTTGACATGGTAGTTAGTAAATTTCTGTTGAGGTGATGTGGGATTCACTGAAAGCTGTAATTTTCAGGAGAGCAAGTTTTTGAAGTTCCTAGGGTTTATGTGGAACCCACTGTCGTGGGTCATGGAAGTTGCAGCAATTATGGCCATCGCACTTGCCAACGGAGGAGTGAGCAAATTCAACTGTATTTAATATATGTAGTACTGTGTTGAGAACTACAAGTATTTAAAATATGTCTAATGTTTATTTTAGATTAAATAATGACACTTCGTTATTTTTGCAGGGAAAACCACCTGATTGGCAGGATTTTGTTGGGATCATCACACTGCTTGTCATCAATTCAACAATAAGCTTTATAGAGGAGAACAATGCTGGTAATGCAGCAGCAGCTCTCATGGCACGTCTTGCACCCAAAGCGAAGGTATTAACATTTTCAGTGGAGTTAGGCCTCACTTGTGATCGACTATAATATTTTGCTCCTATCATCAGTATTCAGTAATCAAGGATCTTCGGTAATTTATATCTAAGGTTGATTAACCAAATCAGCAACTGAAATTTTAGGTGCTTCGCAATGGCAAATGGAATGAAGAAGATGCAGCCATTCTCGTTCCAGGTGATATAATCAGTATTAAACTCGGGGATATTATCCCAGCAGATGCTCGGCTTCTTGAGGGTGATCCGCTAAAGATTGACCAGGTTGTTTTTTGTTCTTATATGGCCGTGTTCATTTTATACTTGATTCATCCTTTTCTTGTAGCTTCCATCTTTTCTCTAACTGGTTGATACTGCAGTCTGCGCTGACGGGTGAGTCCCTTCCTGTGACAAAGCACCCTGGGGATGGAGTTTATTCAGGCTCTACATGCAAACAGGGGGAGCTTGAAGCAGTTGTCATTGCCACAGGTGTGCATACCTTCTTTGGAAAGGCTGCACATCTTGTGGACTCTACAAACCAAGTAGGCCATTTTCAGAAGGTACGAAAGCATGTGTGCATCTACTTGTTCATTTAGTAAAGGGAGGGCATTTTGAAGCAAATGTCAGCTTCTATCGGGTTGAAACAGAGCTAGAAGTTTTTCTGCTGAGCTGAAGTAATAATAAAAAAGGAGAGTTTTTCACCTTTTTGCGCTGTACTTTGCGTTTTGATGGTGTATGATCAATGAGGGTCCATTTTTCCAATGTTGAATTATGAGTTTATCAAATTCCGTATTCCCAGAAAACAGTGGTGATTGTTTTGGTGATATTGATGTCACAACTTGCAGGTTTTGACAGCAATAGGGAACTTCTGTATATGTTCAATTGCAGTGGGAATGATAGTAGAAATTATCGTGATGTATCCAATTCAACACCGTGATTATCGTCCTGGAATTGACAATTTGCTAGTACTTCTCATTGGTGGAATTCCTATTGCAATGCCAACAGTTTTATCTGTTACAATGGCAATTGGTTCCCACCGCTTATCTCAGCAGGTTGATCAAACTTTCTTTGTAGTTATGTTGTTTCATGCATGAGATTTTCTGGTCCAAATGACCTTATATGTAAATGTGTAACTTCTCCACATCACTTCAGGGGGCTATCACAAAAAGGATGACAGCAATAGAAGAAATGGCAGGCATGGATGTTCTTTGCAGTGATAAAACTGGGACTCTGACACTGAACAAGCTTACTGTTGACAAAAATCTAATAGAGGTTTCTTACTCATTTGAACACTGGATGAGTTTCAAGATTTTTCTACTTACAGGATCTATTATTTATCTTCTCTCTTTGCAGATATTTGCTAAAGGAGTGGATGCAGATATGGTGGTTTTGATGGCTGCAAGAGCCTCTAGGGTGGAAAACCAAGACGCAATAGATGCTGCTATAGTAGGGATGTTGGCTGATCCAAAGGAGGTAGGGAACTTTCTGTTGTAAATATCGTTTACATAGTATAGTAAACAACAAATAGATCAACGGTTTTCTTAATGCCTGATGTAGTGATGTAATAATAAAAAATATAAGATATTGTATCAAGCTGGGTTTTATTAATCTGCGGTGATCTCATATGTTCCATCCAGGCAAGAGCTGGCATTCAAGAGGTCCATTTTCTTCCATTCAACCCAACTGATAAGCGGACGGCACTGACATATATGGATGGTGAAAATAAAATGCATCGTGTCAGTAAGGGTGCCCCTGAACAGGTAAAGCAAATGGCACGCAAGCATGCAACACCCTTAAATCATCAGTGACTGACCTAAAGTGTGTTTTATGATTCTCAGATTTTGAATCTTGCACATAATAAATCAGACATTGAGCGTAGGGTCCATATTGTGATAGATAAATTTGCTGAACGTGGTTTGCGATCCCTTGCAGTAGCATACCAGGTATGAAAATCTTATCCAAGACCAAAAAGATCCTGCAGTGCAAGCGTTGTTTATATACTAACATCTTGATACAGGAAGTCCCTGAGGGAAAGAAGGAAAGCCCAGGAGGTCCATGGGAATTTGTTGGCCTCATGCCCCTTTTTGATCCACCCAGGCATGATAGCGCAGAGACGATTAGGAGGGCCTTGAATCTTGGAGTAAGCGTAAAAATGATCACAGGTCTGGTTCTTTAGGACATAGAACAAAGTTAAATCAGAACTTATATTGTTTATACTTGTGTCCATGATTGCCTGTTATGGAATAAGAATTGTAGGAGCATGTTAATTCAGATGAGAACCTTCAATATTTTGAGAACATTGAACCGACTACTCATGAGTTATTCATCATATGAATATATCAATGAATATCATGAATAATGAAAATGCATGATTAATAATATTCATGAATATTTTAGGGTGTTATTCATCATGAATAATTCATGAAATAGTTGGTTCTGATGTTCTCAAAAATATTTTCGGTTCTCATGTGAACCAACCCCTAGCATGTAATGCCTGATGAAGGTACAAAGTAACCCAACATCCGTTACTCACCATTTTGTTTTTCAGTTCAAAGATTTTTTATCTATCGTTTTTAAGTCTCTATGGTCCATCTGGATGACCCTCCCGATCTTGAATAGGTGATCAGCTAGCAATAGGAAAAGAAACTGGACGACGCCTTGGAATGGGAACCAATATGTACCCTTCATCTGCATTACTGGGACAGCACAGGGACGAATCTATTGTTGCCTTGCCCGTTGATGAGCTGATTGAAAAGGCCGATGGGTTTGCTGGTGTTTTCCCTGGTAAGTTCTTCGTATATATTCGTGACAGCTTCAGAATTTCACGTTGTCAATTATATAGGAAATAATGGAATAAGAATAACCATATGAAATATTGCATGGGTTTTGAGCGAGTACCATGCCTCCTTTTTGCTTGAACATCCCTACTTTTGTTTCTAAGCCGCTTCTTTTATTCCTGGAAGCCTAACAACATCAATTTGGTTGAGCTCCTACAGGAGAAAGGTGCTCAATATTAATTCCCTTCGCAACCAATCAGCATGCCGCAAAGTTAGTTGTTAGCCGAAAAGTTAGGTGTTGGCTACTAAGCTACCTATTAGCTGATAAACTAGTGATGTTTGGTAAAAACTAGATAATAAACTAATTGACAATGTAAAGTGACCTAAAAGAACATGTCGAAACTTAATTGGAAAAATATAGGGGGCATAATTGAAAAAAAGAGGAAAAAGCCTTTAGAACTTTTTGAAACAAAATTTGAAATAAGCTCAAAAAATAAGCGTTGCAGGTCCAAGTATCTGATTATTAAATCTTGAACTTCCCAGCGATCAACTCTGGTTTTTTGGTTATCAGTTAGTTGATAAGATGCTACATTTGTGGTTTTGCTACAGAGCATAAATATGAGATTGTAAAACGTTTGCAAGCTAGAAAGCATATATGCGGTATGACTGGTGATGGAGTGAATGATGCCCCTGCGCTTAAGAAAGCAGACATTGGAATAGCGGTTGCAGATGCAACTGATGCTGCTCGTAGTGCATCTGACATAGTGCTGACAGAACCTGGTCTTAGCGTTATTATCAGCGCTGTACTAACTAGTCGAGCAATCTTCCAGAGGATGAAAAATTACACTGTAAGTTCAAGCTCAGATCTTCAGAAGCATATATTTCATCCATTTTGCCAATTTCTTCGACTTATCATCTTCATTTCGTGGACCTATCTTCTTTTATCTTGTATCATGGAAATGGGACCATAGTTGGCTTGTAGGGTTGGTTCCAGTGAGAATGGAAGTTACGGTGAGACGTGTAAGAAGGGATCTTCATGCTTGAATCAATCCGAATTGAAGAGAAATACTAGATCAACACTAATGAGATACACCGGATCAATTTCCTTCTAAAGAGCAATTCATGGATTGGCTTGAAATTAAAAGTGATCAAGGGTCCAAATTCCATCTTACACTTCTCACCCTAACTCCTATTCCCATAGGATTTTTTTCCTGGCTTATATAGTGGATTAGTAAATGAATGAAAAGGGGCCTCCTTTCTATCAGCCATTCAACTGTAATATCAGATTGAGAGGCTTCCTAATTTTTTGAATGTTCAATTTCTCTTATGCAGATCTATGCTGTTTCAATCACTATCCGTATTGTGGTATGCTGCTATGATGTTCTGACTTCTACTATTCAGCTTAGTGCATTTCGAAATTACAAATTTATCTTCCAATATACTTTTCATATGCTTTCTACTTCCTCTTTCACCTATTTCCCCTTTATATCTGTTTCAACAGCTTGGTTTCATGCTACTAGCTCTCATATGGAAGTTTGACTTTCCACCCTTCATGGTGCTGATCATCGCGATTCTTAATGACGGTTAGAGTTTGTTTTGAACGTTGGCGTACTGAATTTTCATTAATTTTTGTTTAGATGGGCAACAATCATGAGATCCACATACTAATGATGCCATCCCAACTAAAAAAGGTTTCTTTTTAATGGCTTAACTTGAAGTGTGTGATGGAGTCCCACATCGGTAGACTTGGACATTTCCCCTCAATATATGTTGGAATCTCCTTCTCTCTTTAAGGGTTCTTGTAATTTAATGGGGTTTCATATATTCTAACATGGTATAAGAGCCAAATTCTACCACACTAGGGGACTCGACAAATTGGGATGATATGTGCCCGTCTAGCCCCCTCTTCGACACTCTAGGACAATCTCACAGTACTGGATTGGGATTGGGTCCCTTAAGCTCTGCTGAATCCATCATCTTTGCTCACCTTTTAATGGGGATTCCAGGTACCATTATGACAATTTCCAAGGACAGAGTGAAACCGTCTCCTCAACCCGACAGCTGGAAGTTGTCCGAGATTTTTGCTACGGGGATCATTCTTGGTAGCTACTTGGCTATGATGACTGTCATTTTCTTCTGGGCAGCATATGATACCAACTTTTTCCCGGTAAGAAAGTTTCCCTTCATAGCAGCAGATGGCTAAACAACTGGTCATGTGAGACTGCACTTTTGCTTTTCAAGGTCTGCAATTTGTTTATTCTAAAGCCCATCTGATGTTAAGATTAGGGTTGCGTACTAGGAGTTGGAGTCAACATCTAAACAGAAACCGACTAAAATAGCCGATCTTCCACCTGTATTCACTTTTTAGCCATGTTTTCAAGGCAATTCCCAAAATAGTCATTCTTTACGCAAATGTATTACGCATTTGCATAAACCATATTTTTCTAATAAAAAGAAAAGAAAAAAAAATCGGCATTTGTGTAAAAAAGTACATTTTTGCGTAAAGAATGACTAATTTGGGAATTGCCTTGAAAATATGGCTAAAAAGTGAATGGATGTGGGGAGATCGGCTACTTTTTAGTCAATTTCCCACTTCCCGTTGGGGTTTTGGTTTCTTACTTGATTTTTGTCTACCGACTGGGTAGACAGTTTATATTTTAGTTTGCTACTTGATTTTTATCTATAGAGTTTTCTAATTTTTAAGTGAATAAAAACATCTCTAACGGATTCTCCAAAATTAGAAAATAGAGATTTTGGTGATTTTAAGCATGTTTTTTTGCTTTAACAAGTTCTCCAAAATGGAGAAAGCAGGAGATTTGGAGATCACCTAAAAAATTATTACAATGAGAGAAATACCTTTTAATATATTTCCACTGATAGAAAACTTTGAAAATAAATATTTACCGAAAGAAAAAATATCTTATTAAATGAATTAAATATTTTAATAATATAATCAATGGTGTAATCTTCAAAATACAGAATCTTCTGGAGTTAAATGTCATTTTGTTTTAGAGATTTTGAAGTTTCATTCTCCATTTATAGAGAAATTTTGGAGGATCCATTGGAGATACTTTTTAAGTCTCGAATTATCTTTCTCCATTCTCATAATCTGCTAGTGAAGAGAATATGGATTAAGCGGTGGTTTGTTTTGTGCACTTATGGTGTTTTTCAGCGTGTGTTTGGCGTTTCAAGCCTTCAGAAAACTGCTAACATTGATGAGGACGAACAAGACTTCAGGAAGCTAGCCTCGGCGATATACCTACAAGTGAGTACCATCAGCCAGGCACTTATATTCGTCACACGATCCAGGAGTTGGTCCTTTTATGAACGTCCAGGAGCTCTACTTTTTGGTGCTTTCTTGATTGCTCAACTGGTGAGTGATTATGAATTGTGGCTTTTCTTTTTCATTCTATTATTGGTGCTAAAAGTCACATGCCAGATAGACTTGAACCATTTATTTTTCTCAATGGCCTTGCATGGTTTATGTCAAGTGAGCCTTAAAAGAAACACTAGATAAACACATTAAGTGGGTTCGTTTGGTACACAAGACAAGACAAAAACTTGTTGTCCTTGTCGACATTAGACTGGTACAAGTCAGGACCAAACCTGAGTGGGACAAAAATGTTTCCGTCTCACCAAAATAGGTGGAACAAAAATAAGAGGGATAGACAAAGTTGGTAAGTTACTAAACTAGGTTACTAAACTATACAGTGTTAAAGTCCCATGCCAGCTAAACTTAGACCAATTATCTTCCATATAGGTTGCAATCTCATTTCTCTCCTTTAAAGACTTTTGGATAGTATTCCGATGGGGTTCCACGTATCTTCACACTACAACAAAATTGATTTTATAGGATGCCTAAAATGTAGAATCGTCATAAAAAAAAAACTTCAGAGGACTTACGTTATAAGGCCAAACTTAAAAGCGTCCTATCTAAAAGTGTTACAATAGGTTTATATGACACTTTTAGGCGTTTTAACAAGTTTCTTAAGACGTTGCATTAACTAATTTTATACGATACTATTTGAAAAAATGTTCTATAAACATAAGTGTCCTATAAAAAGATGGGTTTATAGGACACTTCTCAAAAATGTCCTATTAGCTAATAGGACACTTTATTTTTAAAAGCGTCCTAAAAAACTTGCTAAAACGACTAAAAGCGTCTTATAAATATTGTAACGCTTTTAGATAGAACGTTTTATAGTTTGTCTTATAAACATAAGTTTTATAAAATTTTCTATGAAGACGATTAGACAATCTAGGCTGCCTATAACCATTTTTTGTTGGAGTGTCATATGGTATTAGAGTTAAGCTCTACTACTATAGGGGTTCGACACTCTGGGGAAGTTTGTGCCCGTCTATCCCCCTCTCAGCATTCCAGAACAATTTGCGACTATATAGCTTCCGTTGGAGGGGGAGTTTAGAGTTCCAAATCAGCTAGAATTGAGCTGTTTTTTCTCAATATATGGTGAAACCTTTTAGAGAGTGATCTGACGGGGCTCCACTATTCCCACACATAGCCTTAGCTTTGGAAAGCTGAATTTCTTTGGTTAATGTTCCTTCTCATTTTCTGATAGATTGCAACGCTTATTGCCGTTTATGCAAACTGGAGTTTTTGTGCAATCGAAGGGATCGGATGGGGTTGGGCTGGAGTTATATGGCTTTATAACATTGTCTTCTACATCCCGCTCGATTTCATCAAGTTCTTCATCAGATATGCTTTAAGTGGCAGAGCTTGGGATCTTGTCATCGATCAAAGGGTGAGCAAACCGCAGACTAATTTATGATGCCATAGTTGCAAGATGTTTGAACTCGATTTCTCTCCGCAGGTTGCCTTCACGAGAAAAAGAAACTTTGGGAAGGAAGATCGTGAGCTTAAATGGGCTCAAGCACAAAGGACACTGCATGGACTCGACCCACCTGAGACTCAATTCGTTGAACGCAACAACCACAACGAGCTTAATCAAATGGCTGAAGATGCAATTCGCCGAGCTGAGATGACAAGGTAAGCTATTGTTTTTTTAAGTACATAATATTTATATACGGCAAACACTCATGCACACTTCTTCCATTTGACGAGGTTTGAAATCTTGACCTCTTGGGGAGGTTGTGCTCTACTGCTAACCGGAGTACCGTTGGGTCAATGACCCTTATTTCAGTTACTGATGTTTGCACCAAAAAGTCTATTCCTAGTCAAATATATAGATTACAAGAGAATAAAGCAAGGCGTGCTGTGCGATTCTAGTTTTACAGACGTGAAACAGAATCAAACGAACCCAATAGATATCTCACTCGAAAATAGGATCTGAGAGGTGAAATATACGTACGCTTGTGTTCTGATTAAAGTGTAGATGCCTTACTTTCCCATAGTTTATGCCCATTTACATCAAGTGAGCCTTAAAAAACGCTAGATAAAACACATTAAGTGGGTGCATTTGATATGCAGGACGGGGTGGGATAAAACAGTACAAAAATTTGTTATCCCACGTTTGTTCTAAGTTAGACTGGACACGACACTGTCCAAGTTCGGACCTAAGTGGGACATGTTTTTTGTCCCACCTAAATATTTAGGACAAAAATTTGACAAGATCGATAAATTACTAAACTACCCATGTCAAACTAAATCCTAAAACATTTCATAATTCTTTTTCCCAAATACCTCACTCTCGTCCGTTCAGTCTTGAAATAACTCTGTGGTTTGTTATTTCTCTCAATATTGACCCTTTTAAGTTTTTTTTCTTGGATAATTTACAAACACTTATGAATCCTTTAAATGCGAGCTCAAGAAATTGTAGATCTTAACATGTTTTAACATTCTACATGATCATGAAGTTTATATGATATAATATTTTCAATCTTTACACGTGATTTACTATTGGATACGGTGGCACGGGCCACCACTTCGTCCCAACGTCATCGTGTAAAAAATTAGAGGGTCGTGAAAAGGTGTTACTGTATTATTTTGTTGTGTGCAACCATATATATTTTGAAACTACAACGACATTGATGATACAAGTTTCTTTTGGTAGCGTTGGTTTGCATGATTTTTCTCCCATCCTAGACGCATATTCAAATTTTGTTTGTATTGTTTTCTTAGTTTTTAACTTTTGATTTTAAATTTATTATGTTTCTGAAAAAAAAAATGCTATTAAAGACTCGAACACAATACGTAATATATGAAAAGCAAAAAACTTACCAAACAAACTATGAAATTTAGGTCCGTCTCTGACTTAGAAAAAGATTTAGGTCCGTCTCTGACTAGTAGTATGATCTTAGACACGTAGTTCACTAAATTTAATTTATTCCTGATGCAAAGTATGAACATTGGTTGGATGCAGGCTGCGGGAATTGCTTACTCTCAAAGGTCACGTGGAATCGGTTGTGAAATTGAAGAACATCGACATAGATACGATCCAACAATCGTACACCGTTTGAGAAGCACGTCATACAGAATGCTTCATACTTCCAACCGAACATACATGTAGTAAGCACGTAACGCAATTCCTCGGAAAAGTAGCATCTTCAACGTTTTTAATTACGCATGGGGGCGTTGGTTTGACAAAATGTTTTTTTAAGAGAATTTGATTTCATGGAAGGATTGGGAATATTTGGTATGTTTGTTTTGTAGGATTTGGAAGGTCGAATTACATTCTTTATAGATAGTATATAAAAATAAATTATAAATAATTATAAAAATAATTAAATTAGCTTTTATTAATTGATTATTACAAACAATCCTATGAAATTTGGTGAAATACCAACGACCTCCATTGGATTTCAAAATCTAATGTTTGTGGGATTTCACTGAAATCCCGAAACTTCAATTCCAGACTTCGTGATTGGAATTGGATTCATACTGCAAATGAAATGGGCTATAACTCTAAGTATTTGGGAACACGTAAAACCAAACGATACAAGCCCGATATATATACAACCCGAAGGTGGGTTCAGTGGATAAGATGTATACATATATGATATCTACACTGAAGCTTAAACTCTAATAATGCATCCGTCCTAGGTAAAATAGTCGTACCTACATATTACAACGATCATCATATAATCTTTCATATGGCTATACTAATTAGAGACCACGAGTTGTGACGAAATAGAGCTCAAAAGATCTTGAATCCTCTGGGTACAAAGCAGGTGCATTTGGTACCAGAGACAATATAGAACAAAACTTGTTGTCCATGTTTGATGCTATATTAGACTTGGGCAAAACGGAAATGTTTTTCTTAGTCCAACCAGAATAAATGAAACAAAAATAAGGAATATGACTCAGGATCATGTGAGACCAGACTGTTTTCGTGAGACCACATAAATAACACTACACCTTCACAGTGATTTTTTTTGTGAATGTTCGGTGTTTTTTATGCTTCACAATGTTTTGCTGTGAACTTTCACTATTACTCTGTGGTCTCACGGAACCAGAATAAACGAAACAAAAATAAGGAATATGACTTGGGATCATATGATACCAGACTGTTTTCGTGAGACCACATAAATAACACTAAACATTCATAGTGATTTTTCTATGAACTTTCACTATTATTATGTGGTCTCACGGGTCTTACAAAACAAATAGGTCTCACTTGAACCCAACCCTAAGAAAGATTAGACAAGATTGATAAATTACCAAACTATCAATATCAAACTAAAATCCTAAAACCTTCCACAATTTTTTCACCCGTCTACCTCACAAATGCCTTCACAAAACTCAAAAGGGATAACGAAGTTAAAGAGAAAAAAAAAACACAATTAACCAAAGGAAAATAGTAACGCCGATGTCTAAAGACCACCCTTCGTTACTCCATACAAAGCGTAATTCCAAATCCCCAATTACGAAAAACAGTTTCGAGTTTTTGCAACAAGCATATGATACAAAATGAAATCAAGCAGTTTGGAGTTTTTGCAACAAACATATGATACAAAATGAAATCAAGCAGCAAATTTAGGAGCTTCCCTGTGCTTGAGGATCTTCTTCTCCAGTTCATCCTTTTTGGCACCAATAATTCTTTCCACCTCTTTCCCTTGTTTTAACAGTACCAGGGTTGGCATTGCATTCACACTGAATTGTTGTGCCACATCCTACATTCAATTCACCAATCAATTCAATGTTTTTATCTGATTGTGTTTGGTACTCAGACCAGACTGAACATGTTTTAAGGTTTTAATTTGGCATGGTTATTTTAGTAATTTATCAAAATCTTGTTTGATTTTGTTTCACCTATTCTGGTGAGACAATAAAAAGCATTTTGGCCTACTCAATCATGTGATGTCATGTCATGTCATGTCAAATGTCGCAGTAAACATGGGATAACAAATTTTTGTTCTCTTAATCTGCTTTATCGAATAGTTCGGATATACATTTTTTAGTAGGGGTGTACTTGGTAGGGTATCAAGTGTTTTTTTCCATCATACTGTGTAATGACCAATTCCATAATTGGTACCCAAAATCCTATACCATATATCAATCAACTGTAATTGTACCAACTTTTTTCAGTTGGTATTGGTTTGTACCAACTTCAAGTTACGTGCGTGTGTGTGTGTATATATATATATATATATATATATATATATAATATTTGTCATTTTGTTCAAATTTTGAGTTTCCAAGTAACATATGTGTATGTTTAAGGGTTCTTAATTGCAAAAAATAAAACTTGAAAACAAATGTTTAAACAAAATAGTTAAAGTTACAATGTTTAATATTCAATATATAAAAAAATACAAAAACGAATAAATGATTAAATAAGTCGGTACTATGGTAAACCGTGGTATACAACTTCCAATATCGTGTACCAAGCAACTGTATTTGGTACCTACTTTTTTCGGTTGGTACTAGGTTTATACCAACTTCAAATAACATATATATCATATTGCCATTTTGTTCAAATTTTGAGTTTTCAAGTAACAATCGTGGTTTAAGGGTTTTTAATTGCAATAAATAAAACTTACAAACATTCAATCATCTAAATAGATTAGTTAAAAATTACAATGTTTAATATTTAATATATATATATATATATATATGGTATATTTCAAATGCAATCATGTACATTTGTATAACCAATGCAACTCAATCAATTGAGATATTTATGAATATGCTGAGAGTTCATTTATTATGATTTGAATATTTATGGAAGATGACTAGAGTTCATTAATTATGATCAATACTTTATATTAGAAAACAATCAAAACTTTTATGATATCACATATTCATCAAATTAAATGGACGGCTGAGATTAAGTTATATTGATTGTACAAATATAAATGTTGCATAATAACTCATCTCTCTCTCTCTATATATATATTTATATAAGTAAAAAAAATACAAAAACTATATAAATAATTAAATAAATCAGAAGATGGTATTACCATGATACACAATTTTCAATACCATGTCCCAAACAAGTTTACATACTTGGTATGACATCATCAAGTATCAACCACCAGATTTGCATTTGCATCATTGGTACTATCAACCATCATTGGTACGATACTATCAACAGGCTACATATGTTTGTTGATTTGGTTTATAACAAAATTATGTTCCTGATTTTTGAGCTCTAGATTTGAACTTGTTCTATCGAAGCATATTTTTATTGTAAAACACGGAAGATTTGATAGCTAATTTAATTAATCCCAAATATAATGTTTAACATCCCAGTGATCCATAGCTTCATGCTTCCAGTAGCGTTTATGTTAGGCAACTCCGATTCCAGAGAATTAGAATCCAAATCAAACCAAAAATAGGTTCATGTTTCGAAAGTTGAAGTCAACGAATTCCAGTTCCAATTCAATAACTAGATTCAAACCTAAATCTAATTGTTCAGTTAAATCGCAGTAATCGATCAACAATTCCAGAGAGAGAGAGAAAAAAAAAATCTGAAGACGTTCGATAGCATAATCGTGAATAACTTACCTTCAATTCATCGACATCGATCTTTATGAACTCGACGTCTTCATACTTGGAAGCTAGAGATCGGAGGAAAGGCTCTAACATCTTGCAAGGACCACACCATGTGGCAGAGAAATCAACCACCATGAGTTTGGGCGATTGTTTCGAATCATTGAAATGAAGCTGCCAACGCTGAGATGAATGGAATTGGATGACTCGTGATTCCTCCGACGATGAATCGTCTCCGTTACCAGGCTGTTCTCCACCTAAAATCGTCGATAACATCGATCCCATGGTTGCCGGCGGCGAACACAAAGAGTAGATGAACACAAAAAGACGACGAGAGAATGTAGGTGGGAATTCTACGAAGAATCCACCCCGTAGCTTTCATCTTTTCTTTACCTCTTAGAATAAACTACAAATTTGGTCCATGTGATTTGTCGAAATAACATTTTTAGTCCCTACAAAATTTTAAAATTACAAGATAGCCATCATAATCTGCAAAAATGTTCGAATTTGATCCTTGCCTCTAATGACGGTTAAAAATTTCATTAAATAAGGGGTATTATTTTCATTTACATTATTGATATTTTTGTGTTTTATCTAATCAAAATTGATTTTATGATTTGGTCCCTATGATTTTTGATTTGAATAACAAATAAAAATAATAATAAAATACGAAAATACTCCTTATTTAACGAAACTTTTTAACGAATGTTAGAAACAAGGATTATATCTGAACGTTTTTACAAACTATGATGGCTATCTTGTAATTTTGAAATTATAGAAATTAAAAGTGTTATATTTGACAAACCATATGACCAAATTTGTAGTTTACTCTACCTTTTATTCTGTTTTAGGACAAATTTTCAGTAAGATGTTGTTTGACAATTGTTGAATGGTTTGGTATAAAATAATTAAGAAGCTTTTATAATATAGTGCAAAATGAAACAAAATTGTTTAATTAGAGTGTTGAATGGTTAAGGGAGACACAAGATACAAAGTCATTCAGAGGGTTTTAGAAACCATTAAAAGGTAGACTTTTTCTTTTACCAAATAAGATTCATCTTTTAGTTATTCAGAGACTATCCTTAATGAAACTATTAAGAGGCAAACAAACAACCCCTTAATTTTTAAGATTTTATTTGTTATGTAGGTTAATTGGAGGTATGCAATTTTTCACAATTTTGATTCTTGGACCAATTCTTACAACTCTTACCGGTAAATGATTATTGGGTAAGATTGTGGCATACGATGCCATTTTGATGACCAGTAATTTTACCCGATAAAGCTAGTGAGAATGACAACTATTACTAATAAGTGTTTACTTGATAACATTCTGTTAAACGGCCCCTTAAATGAAAAACCTAAAGCCATCAAAATGCATCTAGTTCGTGACCTAGATAGGGTAAGTTCGTGAACCATCCCTCATATCCATATTTGCTTCGGGTTCAATTTTTCATGGTAATCCGAAAATAACGATAGAATCTGGCATTGATTTTAAAGATGGGAATCCGAAGTCGGTAACACTTGCTCCATTGTACATGTCCGATGACCACTAAAACTCAAGAAACTCAGCAAAAAGACCAATTTACCCTCGAGTTCAATAGAATTATCAGATAACTTTTTAGCCCGATGACCAAATTCGTTAAAAAAATCATCACTTCGTAATCTACCATATAAAAGAAAAGAATTTATAGCATCTCAAACAACATCTGTAACATAGAAGGAAGTGAGAAAATCTCTAAAGTTAGATTAGAAAAATAATTGCCAAGTTACAGGAATTTGTTTCTTTTAGGAATTTACTGTATTATCATTTTATATAATATTTATTTGAAACTTTATCGAGATACTAAATGAGCAAATTGCATGAAAAAATAACGTACGTTAACTTGATTCCCTATTTTAGGTAACGTACTTCAAAACTTCCATTTTGGTACCTAAGATGTAAATTTTTAAACATTTAAGTACCCGGGTAACCGATCATAATGCTGATTGGCGACTGGCGAGTGATGTGGTATCCAACTCAGTATTATTTGTTGACATGGTTAGTGACATGAAATTTTTTTTAATCTAAAATTAGTCTTCAATAAGTTACGTGATACTTAAATGTTTAAAACTTTACACCTTAGGTACCAAAATGGAAGTTTTGAAAGTACGTTATTGACTCAAGTTAAAGTACGTTACTTTTTCATGTAATTCGCACTTTTCAATTTAAAAAATATATTCTAAAAAAGAAAACCATGAAAAAACTATCTCAAACAAAAACATTTCCAATATATACAGAAAGATTAATGTACACAGAAAACCCAACAAAAAAAAAGTGGGCCTTTAATAACTGAAAATGAAGAGGCCCAACCCATTATTATCTTTTTTTTTTTTTTTTTTGTAAGGGTGTCCGGGCCAAAGCCCGACTAATCCCCGGCAAATTTGGAGGCNAAACATGGCCCCACTTAAATGTCGTCAACACTCCCCTCCCAGGGCTCGAACTCGGGTTCATGACTATGCCATACTCAAGCCTTTACCATTAGGCTGGAAGGTCTTTGACAAATATTATCTTACTTCATAGTTAATTCTAAAAACAAATATTCACAATGAATATAACATATAATTTTAAAAATATGTAATTATTTTAGTTTTTAAATAATTAAATGATATTGTCATCTTTTATAATAAATAGAAATATTTTATTCATCTCATAATTAAAGGTAGAATAAGAAAGTGGAACCTTACTTTTGAAAATGAACACTTATTTTGAAACAAATTAAAGAAGAATGTGGACATTTAATTTGAGAGTGAAAAAGTACTTTGTAAGAGACTACATGTCTATATGCATGTGTACTTGAAATCACGTTAGACTAGCATGTTCTCGTGAGACTTGTGATACCATTTTTTTCCAGTTGAAACTTCACAGCAAAACACTGTGAAGGTAACATTCACAATGTTTTGTTGTGAATGCTCACAACATGCTCGACTTTGTTTTACACTAACAGTGTTTTGCTGTGAAATTTCAAATGTAAAAAAATGGTTTCACAAGCCTCATGGAAACATGTTGGTCTCACATGAACTCAATCATATATATATATATATATATATATATATATATATATATAAAGAGAGAGAAAGAATCGGTTTCAAACGAGAACAATACCTATTTAAGAGAACTAGAAGCGTACTCATGCAATTCATCGAGATATATCTCGATTTTAATGTTTCGTTTTATTATTTGTCTTCATCGATTTTATAATACAGTTTTATATGGTTTTTAGAAAACAATAATATTTTTATATTTAAATAAAATATAAATTTGAATACCTATAAAAATTTATATCGATATTAGTATCAAATTAACAATTCAAAAGTTCTTGTTTTTTTATGTACAATTTTTTAGTTCATTTTTTTTAATATAATTTAATTTAGGTTTAATAACGAAGTAATTTTTTAAAATTCAATAATATAATTTTTTTACAAAGATAATGTTTAATTCAATATTTTTATTATAATTTAATTTAGGTTTATTAACAAATTAATTTATTTTAGATTTAATAATATAATTTATTTATAATGATAATAATTAACTATTCTTTATAACTTATTGACTATCCTAATTATATGTTAGATTTTTTATATTTAAAATGAGATGTTTATCTTGTATTTGGTTATGTTTATCGGTTATTTATATAAATTCAAACATATAATTTTAAGTTCTGCTCATACACCATTTATTTTGTAATATTGAATTTTTAATAATATGTATAATTAAACACTACTTGATGCATTATAAATGGTTTTTAAGAGTTAACCCAAATGCTTTATAATATACCATAGATAAGAGAACAACCGAATCACATGTGATTTTGAACTAACATCACGTACAAAATCACATGTGATTCATGCAACCTGAAAACGTGACCATAAGTTGTCCGCACACTTTTTTTGATCATTAATGTAAATTCACATGTGATTTTACACGTGATTTGACAGTTTTATATGTAAAATCACATTAGATATATGCAATTATTACACTAAGAGGTGGATCTTGTTTGGTGAAAAAAAGGTTTGCATCTTTACAGTTCTAAAACTCTCTAAATGATTTTATATTAGGTCTCTCTTAACCATTCAGCACCCTACTTTCATTCTGAATAATTACCAAACAATTTTTACACTATATTATAAAAGTCTCTTAATCATTCTGACCACTTAATTATTATACACCAAATCATTCAACAGCTATTAAACAACAACTTAAATAAATCTTGCAAATTAATAATTAAAAAAGAAAGAATAATCTAATTGGTTCAATTCTCCTAAAAAAATTTAGTCAAAATAGTCAAAAGGAAATGGCAGAAATAGAATTGAGTGGGGGAGGTGTTAACTTTTGGAATTAAATGCAATGAATCTGGCCTCACTTACAAAAACCCACCTTTCACACTACCATTTTGCCTTTTCCACTCCACTTTTTACTTAAACCTAAAAAGCAACTTATAAATGCATCACTTTTTTTACATTTATCATATATAGAGATAGTGAATTATTATAAATTTTTTTATATTTGTACAATCAATATAACTTAATTTTAATTATTTATTTAATTTGATAAATATAGGATTTCATAAAAGTTTAGATCATTTTCTAATATAAAGTATTGATCATAATTAATGAACCGTAGTCATCTTTCATAAATATTCAAAACATAATAAATGAACTCTCATTGTTTCCATAAATATCTCAATTGATTGAGTTGTATTTGTTGTATAAATATGATTAATTGCATTTAAAACGTCCTCTCTCTCTCTCTCTATATATATATATATATATATATATATATATATATAATCTATGATTAAAATATGTATCATACATATGAATTGTTTGATAGTTGCCGAATGATTTTAGGCAGAATAATTAAGTGATCGGAATGATCAATAAACTCTTATGATATAGTGAAAAATAAAATATAATTGTTTGGTTATTGTTTACGATGAAATTAGGGAGCTGAATGGTTAAGGAAAACTAATGATACAAAATCATTCATAGGGTTTTAGAACCATTAACATACAAATTTTTGTTTTGTCAAACAAGATTCACCTCTTAATAGAACTATTAAGAGGTAAACAAACAACTACATATAGTCACTTTAAATAAGGAAATCATATGTGAATAATTAAAAAATATATATTTCAATATATACATATAAATTCATGTAAATAATTTGTAATGTCATTTTATATATGTATATTTAAATATTTATTTTTTTTAGCAAATTACATGAAAAAATAACATATTTTTAACTTGATTCTTATTTTGGGTAAAATATTTTATAAACTTTTATTTTGGTACCTAAGATGTAAAGTTTTTAACATTTAAGTATCCGGAT